CGCCCCGCCCGCCGCTCCCGTTGTCCCTGCTGACTCCGGGCTGGCTGCCGTGGTGGGGCTGCTGTTGCTCCCCTCGGCAGCGCTAGCACCGGCGCCGCCGGTCGCCCGGACTGCTACCACTGCTGCCGTCTGCCCCGCCGCTGCCCCCTGCGTGTTGTTGGTGGATTCGAGCGGGGTGGTGGTCTGAGTGCTTTCGTTACACACATACACACGCATGTTGTTGCTACACGGTATCTATCTGTAAACCGGAGAGTAGTAGCGTAGACTCCCCCATGACGCTCGGTCACAGGATCCCAGATCGTGGCCGATAGAACCATTCTGTGGTTTCCACCGCACTGAGACTGGCGTACTTTCATTCGCAGGCCGGTTAGTCAGCGCGGTCGGTGCTAATGAAACAAAAACACACACACAACACACTTGGTCAGCCGATTAGCGCGGGTGGTGCTGAAAAAAAAGATGCACACACACACGCCAGGATCGCAGAAAGAAGAACAACACAAGGAGAAAAAATACATTTTAAGTAAGAAACATGTCGTTCCACTGCTGTGTACCGCAAAGATCAACGTGGACCTCCACGGACAACGACTGCGGTTTGGGTGATTAAACTCTGTCGTGAGGTTTGTTGGTCCGTTCCACTCCCCAGCTTGGCTCGTGCATGCAGGCTCGTCCACACGTATGATGGAAACAGAACAGCAGCCCAAAACAACGTCAGAGGCGGGCGGGGTCGAGAAACTACAAAAACGCCCTTACAATGCACGTGTTAATGTGCTGGAAGTGCACAAAAACTGGGATCAGGGTTGTAGGGCAGCTGATTCACGCCTTGTTCTCGTATTGGCGGCAAGGCAACGGCATGGAACAATGTCCCGCTTCAGTGAATCGTGCGTTCATTCAATGTGGAGGAAAGCGCCCTAGTACCAACACAGCCCTGCTTCCCCCTTGTGACACACACACCCTGAGGGAAATCGACCTCCTTGACCCAAAAACAAGCACCACAAATCGATCACTCGGACCGCCTTCTCGCGCGATAAGTAAGTTTTTTTTTTTTTCTTCACTTCAAATCAGCGTTTATGAGGAAATAGAACGGGGAGGGGGTACGCAGACCCTATTCCCTAACCTAACCCTAACCCAACTTTACCCGATTGTATGCTTTATATATCCAACATGTTTACATAATACGAAAACCCCATAAAGCCAGCACCACAGATAAAATCAATCGATCTATCAATCAACGCACGTTGACACCCTTCGTCTCCTCCTCCGGACCCCCCCCCCCCCCCCCCTC